ATTGTGACATTTCCTAAATTTTCGCTATTAAAGTTTTCCCTATCAATCCATCTTCTTCCAAGTATTCAATCTGCCCATGTCTGAGGTGACAACTAAGGACAATTGCCTTCCAGTAAACAACTGCACATGAAATCATCATCATAATTATAATAATCAGTGTTAACATTTATTTTATGAAGTTGTCATATATACGACTTCCTATAGTCATCACCAAGACTGTGTGAAGTAGATATTTAAGCCTGCTTTGCTTAAACACCAAGGTCGAACAGTGGATGAACAGTGCAGTCTGACACCAAGGCCTCTGATTGCAGGGAGAAAATCTAGTCATCTTTCCAGACTCAGCTCAGCCATGCCTTCTCTGAGTCCTGAATAATCCTCTTCAATCCCACCCGGTCCTCAGGGGAGTTGCCCCCTGCTTTGTAGACTCACTGTATCCAGTATTTACCCCTGTGGAGGCAAGCATGGAACAGAGATCCCAAATTGATGGCTGAAGTCACTTTGACTTGTCTTCCACAAGTTCAGGTGTGTGTGGAAAGCTGACCAGTTGGCCTGAAGAAAGCCTATTTGTATAAGAGCCTGCGATGCCCCTAGGGAAGGATTCATCCTAATAAAGGAGCAGGATAAAAAGCAGGAGAGAGATACAAAGGTCCTGGAGCAGTGGGGAGGAGTATGGTATGTGTCCTTCATACCCCTCTGGGTCCTAGGGAGAGGATGACACAGTAAAAAAATTGAATAAAGGGGCTGGGAGTACAGTTCAGTGGCAAAGTGCATGCCTAGCTTGTGTGGGGCCCTGGGGATCGATCCCCAATGCCAAATACACAAAAAAAAACTAAAGACTGTTCCATGTAATTTGAGGTTCAGAAAACACATAGGCAAGGCAGTGTAAAGAAGTTTACTACTGCCGTATATTTTTCTTGTATTTGGGGAACTATCAGTATATCTTATTCATTTCGGTTGTCAATTACAGGTTTTGTTCCATTATCCTAGGCAAGAATATAGATAATTAAAGCTGGGCTTATTTCTCTCCAATCCACCCCTCCCATTCACTCCAAGGTTGACAGGGATGGGGCAGTGGGTGGGGGCGGGGGAAAAGTACTTTTCTCCACCGGAGGACCTCAGTGGGACAATTCTGAGGCAAGCAGAGCATCAATTCACACTATCTGCTCTACCAGAAAGGAAGGGATGCATGGCAGGGATGGGCCTCTCTCAGGGAGCTGAAAAAAGGAAAGGAGTAAAAAGGTAACCTTACCAGGGAGGTCAAAGGGTGAACTTGCAGGTATATTTACAACCTCTAAGAGGAACTTCAGGAACGTGCAGAAGAACGTACACGGATCTGAAGTTCAGACACCACAAGTGGGATGGATCTGGTTTTGCCTCAGGGTGGTGTAACCAGGGAAACAGACCATGAACCACCCCTCCTTTGATAGTAAATTGATCTCATTGCTGCTCCAGATGGAACCCTTTGAAAGAAACTTGTTTTATTCATCTCTATACTCTAAGTACTGAAATAATGACCGAGACTAGGCTCCAAATTCTTTAATTGTTACTCATTGCTCCTAGAAACGGCATCATCTGATCTCATTCTGGAGACTTGAATCATGAAAACTCTCCTGGGTTCTTTTCAAAGCTTACAGACCCTGTTGGATTTGGTAGAAGTAACCAAATAGGCCTGATTTCCAGGCAAAGCAGGAAGGCTTGCAAGTTTCCAGCAAAGCTCTGCTCCTAGTTTGCTAATAATTCTTGAAATCTGCAGATGTGCCTTCATTTTTGAGGTGTCTTCCTGGCTCCAATGCAGGACTCTCTAGAAGGGTAAACTCTTTAAGCAGCTGTCAGTAATTTATGTACATCCTTAGGCACGTGCTTCACTTTAGAGCCTATCTTAACAACAGATTTTTTGCTTTTTGTTTTTTTTGTTTGTTTTTCCATACTGGGAATTGAGCCTTGGGTCTTTGAAATGAGCTCTTTCCCAGCCCCCCGCCCTTTTAAATTTTGAAACAAGCTCTTACTTATCTCTGCTCAAATTTGTGATGCTCCGCCTTGGGCTCTCAGAGTGCTGGGATTACAGGCCTGTACCACCTACCCGGCTTTAACAACAGTTTTTAGTAACAGAAAGGGCCTGAGGATTTAAGGAGGAAAAGTGGGCAGCATAAAGAATCCAGAAAAGGGCAAACGTCACCAGCTTTTCAGCTTTGTTGGGGCACAGCCCTGTCTGAACTTGGCATTGATCCTTTTCCTCTTCCCTTCTCCGGGCACCCCCACTCAAATCCTGAGCTAAAAGAAAAAAGGTTTGGGTAGTGAGAAGAGGGCTAAGAAAACCTCCATAAACTTCTTTCCCTCGGTACCTAGTGCTTCAGGAGAACTGGAGTCTCTGGCAAGGAAGAGGCAGATGTGCTTGTACCAGTACTATATCAAATGCCAAACTTTGTTCTGCCAGGGCTAAAGTTCAAAGTGTTTGAGGAGCAAAGAGAAGTAATGGGACATGGGACCCACATGGTAGGGACTCTTTTGGCTTCTACCATGGTACCCAAATGTTCAGTTTGCTTTTGTGGGAAAACACACCATTTGCAAGTAGTCCCTATTTTAAATAAATAACAGCACTTCTTAAACAGCCCCCAAAGAACTGAGCTCTTGAAAGTTCCCAACCACTTGTTTGGTAGAGGGGAGAGCTGCCAGGGTCACTGCAATACCCCCATGGTCTCATCAGTCACTGATCGCCTCAGCAGTTCCTTGGAGGCAGCAGGCAACTCCCATAGCCTGAGAGGACTTGAACAACACGGCCCCCTCTGATACCCGAGATAAGAGCTCCATTCTAACTCAGAACACACCTACACACACACACACACACACAGCCGGCACCATGGCCTGAAATACTTGCTCGAGCACCAGCTGGCTCTAGACCAGCCTCTGCTTTTAAGAGTTACCCAACACTCCTGGGAACAGTCAGGGACTGTCTCTACCTCTGGGCCTGCACCTAACAGCTGTGGAGGGATCACAACTTGCTCACACCACTAACAACACAAAAAGGCAGTTTGTTTCTTTTTTACCTCGACACAGGAAGTTATGCTGAAACAGAAAATGTGAGTTTAAAAATGTAATATTTTATTACCACGCATCTAGGTACATAATCATTTGTTTCAAAATACAAGGAATTAGTCTATTAATGAACATCATATTTCTGTCAGTAACTTAATACATGTGAAGTAACTGACGAATGAGAAAAGCTACTCACATATTTTTTTTAAAGTTCTGACAACTTGAAAGTCATCGCTATTTCCTGGAATCTTTTCCTTTGTCTCTCCGAGAAACTAATAGTCCTTACACATGGAAAGCATGACATTCTCCTTCCAGGAAATCCAGTGGTGGTGTACCTTTCCCTTTTATACAGAGTATATGTGTTTGATTCTGTCCTTAGGACTAATTATAAAAGTAGGTAGGAGGTAGTAGGAGGGAATACAGTGCACGCTCTCTGAATTTCCTTTATAAGGCTAATATTTTGGGGTCCACAAGCATAACACTTATGGTGATTCACAAAAGCAATGATTAAAAGAGGAAAAACTCACATGAAAAAGTGGATCTGGCCTCCCGGAAGTGGGGCACTGTTGTCTGAGAGAATATGGGGACAAAGTCCTATATGTCCAAAGACAACAATTAAACACTCACTTGTCAACAAACTTTGGATTTTGTTCCCATTTCTTCTTTCCTGGGCACTCTTTGGAGCATAGCTGTTGACAGGGATCAGTCTTTGCTCAAATACAGACTACATGAAAACTCTTAAAGGTCTCACCAGCTGACATGGGTTCACTTTTTACCCATCTATTTTAATATGAGTCATAGGCAAGTGCTCTCAACAATAACTTGACAGACACTTGCATATAAGCATATAACCTGACATCTGCACTCTGGTCATCGCGAAAGCACACTGTTTTGTTTCCGGGTGGCCCCATCCTCTCTGCCAAGCTACATAACATAAAGTTCAACTCCACATTACTGGAGTGCTTTCTTTTATCCAAGGGCCAGGCTACTAACACTTCACTATTCCATGCAGTTACAGAATAAGATAGGACAGAAAGGAACCCAAGACCATCTTTCAGCTCTTCCCCATTTTACAGATGAGGAAACAGGATCAGAGAAAGAAACACTAATTGCCCAAGGAATAGAAATCACCCTTCTGCACTAGCTAGTTAGCAGCAGTGCAGTTAAATAATGGTTTGAATACCCGAGGCTGCCTCTGGGAATTTGATCATGTGCTAATCAGATAAATATGACACCAGAGTTTGTACTGATTACATTCATGACTTGGCAATAAGGTTATTGTTACAGGGAGAGGGTCTTGGTTCATTGAGATATCCAAGCTCCAGGATAGTAATAAATTTTGTCATTTGATCATTTGATGTGCTGTCTCACAGCAGGAGAGCTGGAACCCCAATGTCCCAGCAAGAAAGCTTGGCGCAGAGGCGGTGGGCAAGTTTCCAAGAGTTTCACAACACTGGCTCAGGGTGGGCCAAGGGTGGGAAGGCAGAGAAAACAACAAACGAAAACATCTGTGCCCCAGTGTTAGTTCGGCCTGCAAAACGCGGATGAAGACTGATTCACAGATCTGGTGATCAACTTTGGTACCCAGCAAAATATTCTTAGTTTTGAACAATCACAGGTCTCCCGGGGCTCCCTTGGGTTCGCAGAGCATAAGGGTCCTGTTTGGAGCCTGCATCCTACACAATGAGACATTCGCGTGTGTGTCTCTGCCTAGGTGCGGAAAATAGAAATCAGGATGGGAACTCAGAATCACCAACTCCTACAAAAACAGACCTTTTCTCGCCCTCAACTCCTCAGATTGGTCCGCAAACGCCTCTCGGACAGACCCACACCGCCCCTGATGGGAAGGAGCTTCCCGGCCCACACAATCCTAATAAAGGTCAGAGAGGGGCGAGGGGGCAAGCATTTCGGCCACTGACGGTGTCAGAAATAGGTGGCAAGTGGAAAGAGGAGATTTTGTTTCTCACCAGATTCTTTCTAGTAGGATGACGGGGAGCTGGTAAACCCGCTAAGATGTTCCTTTGAATCTTGCTTTGAACGCGCGTGGGGTCTGAGGTGGCGCCCCTGTGTACGCACAGGTCCGGACCGGGTGCGGAGAGGAGAATTTGCAGTCTCTGAGCAGTTGGGGCCGCGCCCTATTTTGCCCCACAGGCCCCTCCTGCCTGGACCCGCCTCCCTGCCCCTTGGTGGCAGGAGGATCCCCGCCCCTGCAGGGAAAGACTGGGGTCCTCACACTGTCTCCAGTGTAGAGTGGGGACACACACACACACACACACACACACACACACACACACACACACACACACACACACACACACAAAAAACACGGTGCCCAGGAGGAGTGACCAACAGGAACCCAGGGAGCTTCTTGCCCACACTGGCCAGCAAGAAAGTCTGTCTGCCACGTAGTCACTCAGTGCTGGTTTCTTTTGTAGGACAGTCCAAACGCGGGAAAGTTTGCGCCAGACTTAACTTTTCCTAGTATTTGCTAAAGAGGAAGTAAACAATAAAGTGTTTAAAAACGTAGGGCTCGTCCGGGATTTGAACCCGGGACCTCTCGCACCCAAAGCGAGAATCATACCCCTAGACCAACGAGCCCCGCTGCAAATTGTGTTCCTTATAGCCCGCTGAACTATCTTACTATAGTTTACATTAGCAACAGACTCCCAAGCTGTGCTTTTTTTTTTTCCCTCTGATACGTAGTTTACGCCTTACTTATTCTTCCATGTTTGCCAAGATCCACGTCTCACTCTAGCCCTATTCTTGCTTATTTTCTTCGCTCTATAACCTGGACACTTCCAGCGGCAGGATGGGGTGAGGAAAGGCAGCTCTTCAGAATGCGAGGCACTCGACTGAGCTTCCTAAAGTTGGGTCCAAAGAGTCTAGCGGAGAGCCAGTCTCACCGAGGGCGGGAGCGGAGCTGCCCTGCGGGGCGTGGAGTCCTGAGTCCAGGACAGACACTGGACATCTGTCCACTCCCCTGCTGCCATCTTACGCGCGCGTGAAGTCCTAGAGGTGAGAGGAGGGACATCCAATTCCAGGAGCATAGTGGGCTGCGGGTAAACAAACAAGCTGGGGGTGAATCCATTAGACGTCTGTTTGGAATGTGTAGGACCCTGGCAATTTCCCTGAATAGGAATCACGCTCACTGTCTCTCCAACCTTTGCTTAAATTGTTTCCTCTATCTGGAATTCACTCTCCTGGTATCATCCCAATGCACATTAAATTTTCCCCTTCTTCCTGTCCTGTCTTAGCTCAAAATCTTTTGGGAGAACTATACAAACAAAGTCCCTACATAAGTTTACAATGCCTCATCAGTCGACGTGTGTGTGTAGAATGGGGCAGCAGAGGTCGCAGTTAGGGATGTGTCCTTAACAGTCCTGCAGGCCGCAAGGAAGTTACATGTACACATGTGCGCCACCCCGTAGCCCTCAGTCTCGGAAGTCGGGCTTCTGGTAGCTACCTTAGGTGGGATCCACGAGAAGCCAAAAGAGAGCACATCTGCCAGTAGCTCTAAGCCAATGTTGGCAAGCCTTTTAGAGACCAAATGTCCAAACTGCAACTCAAAGCACACTTATTTATTGCAAAGTGCCAGCCTTGCAATTAAACCACAATACTGAGGTTTTAGTTTAGAAAAAACAACTCATACATTAACATCTTTTGTCTTAAATGATGAACACAATAACAGAGCTATCAGTGATACAAATGGCTTTTTTTGAAAGGTAAAAGTTTGTATTTGGAGTGCTTTTGATCAATTAATGTGATCTTTGCTGTTGTGTGCATGCTGATAATTTGCCAAATCTTGGCTCATACTTCGCTAGTTTGGGAGCAACTCAGGTCATGTGTTAGTCTGTTTCTTGTGTCAGATTTGATATAATTCAAAGCTGAAAACAGCTGCTCACAAGCATAAAATGATCCAAACCAAGGAAGGAAAGCAACCCCAACAGTTTTCATTGACTTGAAATTATTTGACAGAGAATTCCACACTTCAAGGATTTCATTTTCAGAACTACCAATTCCACTGACCTTTGTCATCCTTTACGCTCTATATTCTATATCCTATGCCTTCTCAAGTGTTGCACGCAGGTCAGATAATTTATTTTTCCAGATAGAGTTTCTTAGAATTCTAATCGCTCCATTTCCAGATTTCCAAAATCTAAGCAGTGTAAGGAGGAAAGATCAAGTTCTTCAAATTTGGCTTTATCTGAAGAAGTGAAAAAACACAGGGTCCTCTCCATCTCATGGAACCATAAAAATCTGTTACTAAAATTCTCTTTTGCAGTTGTTATAGTGCTAGAAAATTCCTTGTAGATTTCCTGATGGCTTGTAGCATGGTCTGCAAATATTGTACAAGTTTATAAATGTATTTTTAGATTTGGAAAATATTTCAGCTGCCCACTTTGAAGATCTCTTTGAAAAACCTGCAGTTTTCTCTCTTTGATATTCCAAAACATCCTTTCTGCTGTTTTCCCTATACCCTGTAGTTTTTGTTCAGTACATAATAGTGTAAAGTCTGTTATAAACAACAACAACAAAAACTGAGGTTGTTACAGCAGGCTGTATCAGTAATTTGTGGCTATTCCTACCCTTTTTAATTCATAAATAGCCTAATTTCATCCAAGCAAGCTACAAATCTCTCCAGGACTCATCCTCTGCTCAGCTCCTGCACATTACTGTACATAAGTAAAGCATTACACTGTGCCGGAACCTCATCAAGAAGTGTTTGAAACTGTCAAAAGTTAAGAGCATGAGCCAGGATGTAGTTAAGCATTTTTGTGACATGTTTGAGAATATTGTGTTTTGTTTTGTTTTGCTGTTTTCCCCGGCATAAAGAGCTTCTTGATGTTTAATACAATAAAAGTAAATGCTGGGTATTTGCTTCTTTAACAAAGGACTGTATGAAACCAGACCTTGCCCCCACCAGCAAGGTGCCCCATCACTAGAAATTGAAGCCATTCTTTCTGATCTTATGTCTTGTGAAAAAAGCCTGCAGCACAGCATTGTAGATATCCATTCTTTGTGTTCTTTAAGCAATAACACCAGTTTTACCAGCTCTTCTCTCGTGGTGTCACCAACAGCATAATGCAAAATTACTGTTAGCTTTGTGTGATAATTTATATCTGTGCTTTAATCCAAGCATACGGGGTAACAGGCTACCTTTTGTGAGTCAGTGTTGAGCTGCTAACTAACATCATTTGCCATGTTCAGGACTCGATCTTTAACGATATTTCTACTAAGTGCACCTCAGAGATGCATTTAATAATTTTATCCTTGTTTGAGAAACCATGAGGAAAGGAATTACTCCAGGACTACATGGCTATTTTGAAAAATTCCCCATCCAAGAGGGGCTTACCATGTTTTGCTATGCACAGTGAAATTTGAAAGCTGGCAGCTGTCCAGTGATTTGCTTTAGGTAGCTGTAAAAACTAAGATACTGGGAATAATATTTCCTCAATTTCCCTTCAAGAAATTCTTTCCTTTCAGTCTCCCCAAGTTCAGCAACTCTTTTGCGGCTGGTGTCAAAGTGCCATCTGACACTTGATGTGTGACACACAACACTTTCACTACATAAAATACATGATGGTTTCCCATTGCGTTTGATTACTCCACATAACTTTATTCAGGCCTCATGGGATGATTTCAGCTGTTTTCAGTTTTGCTTTTTTGGCTGTGGTCATTTTTTGGTGTTCAAGACTTGGAGTCTACAGAAACACACACACCAAAAAAATTTTAAGTACCCAATACAAATCTATCCTTATACCAAAAACAGATACACTGTTCGTTAACACTAAAGAATTGGATATTCCCTGACTCAACAAACTATGGTAGTGATTCTCAGCTTGAGTTCCTTTTAAATTTGCTGACCACCAGTGCAAGGGGGCAATGTTTCATTGACCACCAGCTATTGGCCTGCTCTGAAAAGGCAATTGAATGCATTTCCTACCTTGGGGAGAGTTCTGCTAAAATCAGCCTGTCCAAGCAAAACAACAACAACAACAACAACAACAACAACAACAACAACAAATTGCTCTTGTTTTCATAAATTCTTCACAACTTAAATATGCTGCAGATTCAAATATGCCAGGGGCACACGCACATTACAAGAATCTCAGTCTCTTAATTAGTATAGCTCTTTGCTAAATCTTAGATATAGAATGTCAAGTTTTCATAAGAATACAAAGCTAAAATCCGTCGTTAATAAAAAAAAAAAAAGAAAAAACGAACGTATTAAAACTCACAACCACTCCAAACAAGTACATTAGTTATCTCCTTGGAAATAGTTGGAAAGCTCAGATTCATGACTAATAGGTCGCGTGCGTGACGTCATCAATAAGGGCAAATTGTTACCAGACGCCGGGACGCCAGGGAGACTTGGCTCTTGTGCCCATAAAGAGGGTTCTGTGCTGGCGGCTGCCCAGGTGGCATAGGCTCACTCGTATGGTAAGGTGTTTCAGCCAGTATAGAAGTAAACATAATACACACGTCAGTTCCTCGATTGAAGTGTGACAACTCTCTCGGAGCCTCAAAACAGCAGCCTCTCCTTCGAGCCGGAATCGAACCAGCGACCTAAGGATGACTACACGTAGAATCCTCTACAGTCCTCCGCTCTACCAGCTGAGCTATCGAAGGGAGCACGTGTAAAGGGCTTTTAAATTCTCTATTCATAACAACAATAACCAAAGACCGGGACGCCATGACAGACCTTGGAGAGTGAACACTGCGAAGGCATGAGCCAGTTTGTGAGAGAGCCGCACGTCCACAGCTATAGGGACCACCCTTGCAGGAAGGTGCTCCTACCTAACAAAGGAATTTCCACACCGAGGGAGGCGCGAGCTCTCACAGGGACCCCCCAGAGCCTGCTGAGGCTGGAGAGCCTGCGGGGTGTCAGTGCGTTGGCGGCGGGAGGGGGTGGGGGCGGCGGCGGCGGCCCTTGAAGCGGCGGGACCGAAGAGCT